GAGAGAGCAGTGTCTGTCCCTGCCAGGAGGGGTCCGGCAAATATTGCAGAGCCTTTCTCTGCATTCATCCAAAGGGTGGTGTTGGGGCACTGAGACGTCTTGCTAAATATTAATCCTGAACTTTTGCAATGGGGAAAGTCTTTCCTTTCCACAAAGGTCAGCGCTAAGGCGGGCGATAACTGCACATGAATGAACCTCTTGTTTGCTTTGTCTGATTTTCGCTTGATTGCTCTAAAATATGGCTGATTGCTCGAGTAGCTGGCCAGCCTCCCTTGGAAAGCTACCAAATGTGTTTCAGCTCAGTTTATTTTTGTGACTTGCGTTTTCTTTTTCTTGACAAGTTTAAGCACCGGATTCCTCCCCCTAACTCCTTAGACAATGGCAAGGATCATTTGGCTCGGGGCCTGGTAATGAGCTTCAGAGTCTTTCAGCTCTAAGTCATTGCTTTCAGTCTGTGCATGTCAGACCAGGCTGCTATTCGGGGGCCTAACGGGAAATGGGTGAATGGTCCAAGCCCGGTTCTTTGGAGGCAGGTGCTCATAACACAATTAACCACATTGAGTGGTGGCACTAGTTTAGTAGCCTCCATGTAGGGCTTGTTTGCTGCGTGGCGGTGGGGCCTGGCAAGTATGCCTTCTTCATCTCCTCCCGCTAGCCTCAGTCTCCACTGTGTGTAAGAGCAGCCATTAGGTACGAGCCCAAAGTGGCCTCACCGACGTAATGCCAGGTTTGGAGTATGCCTGTAGGCACGGTTCAGTGGGGCATGGATGGGATGCACTTGGGCCTGGCCTGTCCAGGACCTGGTACAGAGAAGCCCATAAAGACCATGGAAAGGGAAGGATTGTGCATACTGAACCTCCACTCATGCTTTTGTTGCTCAGCCCAAGGTGCTTGAAAGAGTCTCTTGATCCAGCGACACAGTCCAATTACTTCTGCCAAGCATGGCATATTGGTTGTGTTAGTGCCTCTCGCCGGCTTTCTCATGTTTGGGATACTAAAGCCATTGAACAGTACAATTCCCAACACCCTATCAGCCAAAGATAGGTTTAGCAGGAGGTGACTCAAGCATGCTTGTTCCAGTAGAGATGGACA